TTGCATAATAATTCTACTCCTTCTTAATTCTACCAACAGTGAAGTGACAAAGAATCACAACAAACTAGGACAGGAAATAATGTTATGGAAAAGGCTGTATGGATTGTTACAGAAAAGTAATTAACAACCACAATAACTTCATATTGTTTGCTTTTTTTACTTTTGGTTTACAATTCTTACTACTATGACTTAAGTGCAATCCAAGCTTTGGGATCAGAGCCAGAAAACTTAAATGTACACCATGTCATCTCAACCTCAACCTATAATAACAGGGCAAAATTCAGAGGAACCCAGTGGCTGTTTACCTCTGCTGATTTTTTTTTAAAAAAAACAGCCATTCGTATTCACTCATCAAGAAAATGGAAGTAGAAGCAAATATTATGGTCATGTTCATTTGTTTTTTGATTACAAAATATATGTAAATTAAGAACAGCCATCAAGCTCTGGAGCAGTGCCAGAACAGTTATTAGTGTCATAAAATTGAAGGAAGGTGATAACAGGGCATTGTGTGCCTGCAAGAAAAAGTCAAGCAGCTGCCATCAAGCCCATATGGAACAGGAAGCCATGCCCATGCCAGAGGGTCAGGTGGAAGATAGGTCCTGGCTACAATAACCTGGCTCCTTCTTTTTCTTTAATGGAGCACAGAGAAATCTGTTCACTCCATAGTCAAAAGTGTGATAATTATAGAGTAACAAGCTCCACTGTCATTCCGGAGGCAGCATCCCCAGGAAATCTTGCTCTGCAATCAAGGAAAGAAGTGCAATCAGGCCCCTATTCAGGCTTTGTTTAGAAACAGCCCCTGTGGGAGGAAGGAGGCTTTGAGATGTTGCTTTATGAAGGGGGTAGTGAAATTGGCTATATGGTATTGTTACTACCAGAGGAGCTCAATGCAAGTTCTCAGCAAAATTTTCCCTCAGCCCCACCTGAAAAACCCAGGGAATCCATAAGAAGGATGTATGTTTGACATATCTCCTCAAATTGTTCTAAGTAGAAATCTCTCTTCTGAACATAGCGAAGGATATCAGTGTCATTTTCCATGCTTCATGCCATGTATAACTTGAGAAGTGCAGGATTGCTCTCCATCAGGGCAAACTAACTGGTGCTCTTCCAATGTTCTGAATTACAATTTCCACAATAGTTACTTGCTGGATTTGAAATGTAAGACAACTAGAAGACAATAGTTCTTCATCTCCTAATCTAGACATTGGTTGGAAAATTGTAGTTCTTGAGCTATGTGTACACATGACATGAAACAGACTTATTAATTTAACAATCAACCTTACTAGTTCTGTCACTATCACAGTGCATCTAAGAAAATGCCCTGATGTTATATGGCATAATATCTTAGTCACAATTAAACAAGAGTGAGACCTCATCCCAATTATGCCTAGGTGAATAGCAGTAGGGCTCTGGAAGTACTCTTGCTCCTGTTTTGTTTTGTTTTTTAAATCTGGCATGTGTGACCATCCTGAAAACTTGAGTCCCTGCTAGCATCAGACAGATCTCAGAAAACTAAAGAATTATTCAGATGTTGGTAGAAAATAGGGTAGGGGAGATACAAGGAATTTTTCTATTACAACTCTTTGCTCTATAAGTTCTTGGAACATCTCCAGAGGAAACTGAGAATTGAAGAGTTTGTGTTTGATGTCAGTTGTGGGGCTGGCCTTACTTTTAGCCTGAATGAGTCAGGCTGCCTCAGGCAGCAGATTTTGGATGTCATAAAAAGATAGCAGTGTTAATTATTTATTTTGTTACTATTTCATTACTACTGCCAGAAATGGTAGTTGGTGGATTTTCTCTCTCGTTTGCCAGAATGATTTTGCCAACTCTGAGTAATATATGTACCTTGGGTGATTTCATTTACTACTGTGCCTTAGGCAGCACTCTGACTTGGGCCAATCCTGTGTCAGCTGCATATTTAGCCAGTAGAAGTTTTTGTGTGTGCATTGAAAACAAAATGCAAAAGTCTTCTTGGACTTCGCTTGAATACCCATAATTGTATCATGTGAGCACATTTGCAGCACAGATTTAAAATGTTTAATATTTCCTCTCTTCAGGGAATAGTAATTTAAAAGAAAAAATGGAATTCCAGTATTTTCAACTGGAATTCAAGTATTTTCACCAACTTCCAGAATTCTTTAGCAAAGCTCTGATAATTAATCAGAAGCTTTTAATTTTCCAAGAGTTCTTGGAGTGGAGCTTTTCATTAGTATTAGTAATAGCATAATAGACACAATTTCCCTTTTGTTTGTTCATTGCCACAATAAGTGCAATTTTTTATCAGCTACACCATCATTTTAATCCTTCACAACATCATAGGGCTTTGTTGAATGGGGTAGAAACATTTTGAGGAAAAAATATTTAGAGAAAAATGTGAAAATGATTTTAAAAGAGAAGCTGATCAGAAAGCGGGGAAATCTTATGATTCTGGAAAGCACTTATTGGTTGATAAATCTTTACTTCCGTTGCAGCATTAAGATAGTTAACAGTAAATACTACCTTCTAATGCTTAATTTTGGACATCTACTTAAGAAAATAGTTTTTGAAAACAATATCTAAGTTTAAGGTTTAAATCTGCAGGTTCACATGGTTGCAAAACCTGGCATAGTTGGATAGCTGTTAGTCATCTGAACCTCACAATGACCCATTGCCAATCTGTTCTTCAATTTACCATTGTATTATAGATGACAATGAAAATCAGATCCCCACATCATCTAGATATTCTCTACGATTCCTAACAATTATTCTTTTGTCTATATGATGACAACACCGAAGGACCCATAATGCTTGCTGTCATTTTCATTTCTGTGCAGTAATGGAGGTGGTAGTAGCAGGGAGGGATTTAGAAATTACTAAATCCAAGAAAATTCTTCCAAAGAGCTTTCCACGTTTACATGGTGCATAATATCAAGTACTGTGTGAAAGCTATTTCCAAAATCCATGCATTTGTGTTGTTTCCTATAGAATTGTACCAAGTATTTCTATAAAAGATGTGATTATGCACTTTATGCATAATGAAACTGCATTTTGCCTTAATGAATCTGTGATACTGTAAATGGAATGTGTAACTTTAGTATTGGTGGGGCTGGTTAAATATTTATTTATATATCATTTCATTGTCCACAGAATAAATGAGCTTCTTGTAGTTTTGTCTTCTGGAGACACAGGTATCAATCAATAGTCAAGTAATGGCTTGAATTCAGTTGAGAAAACTAATCTTTTCTTTTAAAAAAAACTATGCATTGCATTTAGCTATTAAAACAGGAACTATTGATTTAGTCTCATCAACTCCCAGCTAAAACCAGTGATCAGCTGCAAATCAACACAGAAATCTAAGAAATAAGAAATAGTGTGAAACTTCCCAAAAATAAGACAGGGTCTTATTTTCTTTCGATCCCCCAAAATATGGCTTGGGCCTTATTATCGGGGGGGGGTATTGTTTTGGGATTGCCAGATGGCTGCTCTCTTGCAAGTGGGCTCTCAAGAGCTGGGCACATCCTCAGGAGCGAATGGCTGTGTTGTGCTGTCTCAGAAGTGCAACACAGCAGCCATGAGGTGACCACGCTCACGAGCAGCCACCCGGCAACCTCCCTTTCCAGCCAGGCAGAGCACCATTCACTGACCTAGGGGTATCCCGAAGGCGCCAAGCAACGCGAGTCCCTTTGCCCCCCCCCCCAGGCTCCCACAGCTTTGCGCCTTTGGAATACTGCTAGGTTGGTGAGTGGCCTGAAAAAAGGGGGCGTGGCCTTATTTTCAGGACATGTCATATTTTGGGGGAAACACAGTATTTAATACATCAAGGAGGATAATACAGTAAGTGTCAAGGATGGTTGGAAATGAAAGACATTCCTGCTTCTCAAAACAGGATACTTGTTGGCACACCAAAATCTAAAACAAAAGAGTGATTCAAGAGAAGACAAGAGAAACAGAAAGATGTTGCTAAAATATCTGAATTAATTCATTTCTAATTGAGTTGAACTACAACTACCATAATTCCCAGTCTTTCTCAGGACTGTTTATGCTGTTGTCCAATAAATATAGATCAATCAAGTTGGTGAAATTTACAAAAGGAATTCAGAATCATCTTGCAATACACTCATTTGTTCGTAGAACTCAAACTTGATTTGGTTTCTCCCACTGATACCTTCTGTAGCATTTATTTTGTGTAGAGTGGAGGTGAATTCTTGTTCTTGAGCAACCTGCAGCAAAGCCAAAGTGAGGATATATTCATGATTCATAACTGGATTAGACTTCTGAAGGACTTAACTTTCCCTGGAAATTACATAGGAGAAAACTTGGGGAGTTAAGTGAAAAGAAAGGAAGCATTTTAATCATACAATGAAACGGTTGAATACTAACAGCAAACAAGAGCAAATTACACAGCAAATTAAACTTATGTTTTCAATGTTTGTTTCATACATTTACAAAGATTGTCATGCAATCCAAGACAATATAGTAATTCTTCCATCTTAAATCTGGCTTGAACAGTTAAAAACAACTCAAAAATGTTACTTAAAACACTATGGCAGAATTTCAGCTAACCATTTATGATCTAAATGGTCTTATGAATGAATACACATCATACTTACTCTTTTTTGTTTCTCAGTCATGTAAGGCATTCAGAGTCTCTGGCCTTTGCTTTAACCACTATAACTTATTTTAGACAGAGAAAGATGTTAAGATAAGCTACTGGTTTCTTTAATTAACACTTTACCCCATTTTTAATTTTCAGTAAAGACAATGAATATTTTTCCTATATGTATAAAGCAATCTTTGACCAAACCAAAACATTTCCATACAGGAAATGTTTAATGACCAAGCTAATAATATATGGCAACCATTTCAGAACCATGATTTATGAACTGGCATGCTAAACTAATATCACATATTCTTCTTTTTATTCCAAAGATGATTAAGCATTTTGAAACTCCTAAAATGAGAAGACTAATGTGGCCAGTCAGATGTTTTTGTACAAAAAAACCTTTAGGAAGAAGTCTTACCTTCAGAACAGAGTTTCCCAATGTATCCAGTGGCTGAACAATCACACTGTGGTTCACCATCCAGAAGAAAGCAAGTTCCACCATTTTCACAAGGATTCTCTGTACACAACCCTTCCAGGTCCAGGCGGACTCCTTGGTGTCCCAGAAGCTGAGGTTCTGAATTGCCGTATTTCAGGTCCATGATAAATCCTTTAAATGGTGGCTCACCCAGGACACCCTCAAGGGTTAAGGCTGCAGGACGGATATCTGATGGGACACCTCCCAAAAAGAGGTCACTAACAATATTCATATACTGACGTTGTGGACGCACCTCACCAGGTTTGGCTTCACCATCAAGAACCAGAACTGTCCGGAGATGGTTGCGACTAACCATCAAAAAATGTAAATTGCTGTCATTGACCTGCTTTTCTGTAACAATTGTAGCCTCAGCACAGTCTACACTGAACCGCAGCTGAATGCGTCCATCCATCAGGGATAAACAGAGAAAGTCGCAGACACCACCATCATCAAAGTAGAGAAGGAGCCCAGCTGAGATGTTTGTCTTCAGTTGGAAGCTTAGGTCACTTCTTGTGCTTGCATCCCAGCGGAGGTAACGAGCCCACTGATTTGGAAGGCCCATAAACTCAAGGCCAAGACAGAGGCTGAGAAAGGATCCCAACAATAAGGTCACCTTCAAGGTGAAAGAGGCAGAGTGGAGTGAAAAGTCCATTTTTGAAAGTAGTGCTTATTTTCTCCTTTGGGAAAACAAAAATATTAAAGCCACCTACAGGAGAGAGAATGGCTCTTTAACAGTCACTGAAGCCAGTAAATTCCACAAGAGAGAAAACTCTAAATTGGAGAGGTAAGATCTTACCTATCCCTAAGAATACAGAGACCTTTATCTGAGAAGGAAATAAAATATTGTGAAGATTTTCCAGGGGAAGCAATTTCGTAAGGGTTGGATTTTCACTTATGGCCTTGTATTGCTGACCCTAGATACTTCCAGTGAAAGGTAGAAGCAGTAGACAGCCTCCAAACTACAGCTTCTTAAAAGTGATGATGGCACCAAAACATGGATAGCAGCAATCTCATCCAGTCAGAGACTCCATGGATAGAAATGTTGAAGTCTATCTGCATTGTGTCCAGAAGATGACCCTGTCCCCAATTCCTCACTTGTTGGCAATTGAATCCTAAAGAAAAAAAATGGGAGAAAGATAAATTAACTTTACTCATCACAAATTTATTCCTCTCATCATCAAAACATTTTACAGGGTTGACTAGAACACATATATTTGTCCAACTGCTGTTAATGTATATTTTTTTCTTCCAGAGAAATATTCAATGTAGTCATACAGCTATATAATTTATCTATTAAAATGTAATTCTAACTAACAAAAACAGGTTGCAGCCAATACAAAACAGAAACAAAGGACAAAAACCTTAGCACACCAAGCCTAAAGTATGTTACAAATAAGGCTGGGAGTCATAGACAGGTCTTGATTCATACATTGGACTAAATAATGCTCTTTTAACCAACGATCTATTTGCTGAGTTTGCACAATACAAGAAGTCATGCACTATGTTTAAAACTTTCACTGGTAGATTCAAGGAACATATCATGCCAATACTAAATCACAGTATGGTTTACTACAATGTATAAGTAATGTGTACAAGTAGACCTTCTGTATTCAAAGATGATCAAGTGTTATGATTCTCAACTCAACAGCTAGAAGTTAATTAGTTTAATCTTCCAAAATGATATTGACAGCAAGGCTTCTAGTGTTGACCTGAATTCTCAAGTGGATATATGGGAAAAGGTAACCTAATCTGAAGTGATATAGGACTTTAAAAACTTTAACAAGTCCTTTGAACTTTGCCTAGAAGCAGAAAGAAAGACAGTGGAACTGATGAAACATCAACATTATGTATTTTCTCTGTTGTGGTTTTCTCCATATGTTTTGGCAGTCTAGTGCCCACAATTCCCAGCAATATGGCTAGGAATTCTGAAAGCTGAAAGCGAAACACATCTGAAGCACCAGAATTAGAAAGCATACTCTGAGTTGTGAGCTCTAAACACAAATATGGTTACCATATTTTGGGACCCATGAAGCATTCTGATCAAACTCTCTTGTCAAAGACAGAGAGAATCTGCAGAAAGACAGGTCTGCAGAAGTTACATTCATATACTGTATTACACATAATCTTTTTTCTTTTTTCCAAGTTAGTGTGTTGTACGAGTCCAGCCATTGTGTTTGTGTAATTTGTAGCTCATTATATACTCTGGATCCAAACAAATACAAAGTCTCTGCTATCTTTTCAAGGCATTGAGAAAAGTAAAATACTATCCAAGTAAACTCTCAACTATTTAACTGAACTGTACACAATGTTATGCCCCAAAAAATTAGATGCTGCTTACAACTCTTCCACTGTACCTGTACTCAAATATACAAATTCTATGCCAATGCAAATCACTAATTCAATATTTATTGGAGCAAAAGGGAAGGGAGGGAGGGAGGGGGAGAACACAGGATGGCATGATTAGGCTAAGAAATACATAGTAAACGCTGAAAGGAGCCTAATTTGTAACAACTGAAATATAGGATTCATTTTTTTGTAAAAAATTAAGAATTTTTTGCATACAATGAAAAACAACAATATAACAAAGAATAATTGCAAATATAAAATATTATTTGATATTTGATTGTGTGTGTGTGTGTGTGTGTGTGTGTGTAAATAATAAGAAAAAGTAAAACTAACTTGAGGTAAAACAAACTGTAGTTTATAATACACTTCTGACCTGAAAATAAACTGATGATTTATAAACATTAATAAGGCTTTATTAATGTACATGCTTTTATGGGAAAGGCACTTTGCTGCATGTTTATCAATCTCTTGGGCATATTCAAGGAATGCACTCTAAGTAACAAGGTGAAGCAAAGAGTGTTTTATCTTTTCCTGTATTGCGTTTCATTTAGATTTTCTGTGTATGAGCTTTTTTTTAAAGAACTACAGCTCCACAGTATTCACTATAACGAAGCCACTCATTTGGTATCCCAGTTTATCGCATAAAATATAAAATATTGCTTGTGTCCAACCTCTTCTTGTTGCAAGCAAAAATGTTAATGTAAAGAACATGATTCTTGAAAACAGTTCAATCAGATCTAAGGGTGGAAAATAACTTCTATATACTAAGGCATCATGATTTGAGGCACCCCCTTTTCTATTTTCAACATGAATCTATAGTGCACAATTGGAAGTATGTGTAAGTTGTGTAAGTTGTATATGAGGGAAAATACAACAATAAACCTCAGTCTCTCCCCTCCTTCCATATCCTACACAAAAGTTCCCGAGGGAGACTATCTATAAATAAATTAAAAGAAAAGGGGCCATTTATTCATCATTTATAAAGAGATGATAGAGAGATTATACAGTCCATGCTAAAGATTATTAGCTCAATAAGGGAAGACAGATCCCCCTGAGGCAAGTACGTTCTTCACACAATTGAACACGATGAAGTATGTTCTTTACATGATTATTTGAGCATAGCCATGACATAAATAGGTCCTCATGTTGGGGTCCACCAGCAGCCAGCAGAGCTGGCAGCAGATTCGGACAGTGAGAAGATTGGAGAGGAACATGGGCCAGTCCTGGAGTCTGGGGAAGGCTCTGTTGAGGGCTCGGTGTAGGAGGCAGAGGGGAGGGGGGTAGAGCCATCAGCTGCATTTAGAATCAGACATCAGTGAGGCAGATGAACAGCTGGAGCCTGTTCCCAGTGCGCGCATGTGCAGAGCTGCCAGATGAAGGGAACAGCTAAAGAACAGGGGTCAACTTGAGAGTAAGGCCACAGGTGGACGATGAATGGCTCCTCCCAGAGGAAATAAGAGAGGAGCAAAAGAGGAGTGGAGTTTGCAGGAGACAATTAGTTCCCTTAACTGGTTCATAACTCTCCGAGACTCCTTGCCAAGATTTGCAGATATCGGCCTGGCAACTCTCCAAGCCAGATAAGGTCTGTGACTGTAAATCCTCCCTTCAAAGACTTTGCTGAATGTGAATGAGCAGAATTCACAGTAAATTAATAAACAGGTTTTTTGTCAGGACAAGGAGTTTGTTTCATGTTCTTGGGAAACCTAGGTCAGAACACCTGTAAGCATCATTTTCACATGATGTTGCTTGCGTTAGTGACACAGGCTCAAGAAAGTCCTTAACAAACCAATGTTAACAGTGTTCCCTCTTTATTTTGATGTCATCCAAGGGGAGCCACAAGTTGAATAAAATTGATTAGGCTTTGTCTCCAATTATTTATTTGCTTCTGCAGGACTTATAGACAGTCCAATAAACTGGCAGACTGGCAAAGATAGGGAATAGAGGCAACAGAGGCAGGAAAGGGATGGATGTACAATAATAACAGTACAGTTCATTTCACAATAGTTTTCTGTAGATTCAAGGTTGGGTGGAGAATACTCCAGTTTGGCAAAGGAAAAGGGGTCTTAGCTTAATATTAAGGACAGATTAATTAACAGTGGACTTTTATCATCTGAAACTGATTTGTAAGTTTTCTGTAGAGATACACAGAGGATTATAGACAATGAAGAAATAAAGTTTGATATATAAGATGCCTATTCTATTCTGTGTATAAGAGCAAACTGGACTGGAGAATGAATTTTACTTCAACCTTAACTAGAAAATATTGTGTTGTAAGGACGAGGTAAAACAGAAATTCTATAGGGCAAACAGATCACTGTACATTCAGATATACCACATTTCTTCTCTTTTAATGTATGTCATAATATAAAACAAAACAAAAAGCTAGGAAAGCACTATTTTTCTAACCCAAAAGCAAAATATTCACTGAGTAACAAAAAACAATCACTGGACTTTGTTAAAATATCTAAAAACAAAAATGCAATTAAGTTGAAACCAAAAGGAGAGTAATTCATTTTAATTGTTAACAAGTTCAAAGGTTTGCAAAGAAAGAAGCTGGAGGCACCAAAGAATCGATGGTCTGTTTGGGGCCTAGTAAAGTAACAGAGAGTCATTTTGTGTAATAGTTAAAGGCTAGAAAACAGGAGCTCCTGAATTGCTGCCTTGCCTTATGGACTAAGCCAATTGCATAACTTTTGACCAGTCATTCTTTCTCACTGGCAGGAAGGCAAAGGCAAACCACTTCCCAAATTTTGCCAAGAAAACTCCATGTTGTATGCGCATAGACACAGTAGAACAGAGCACGCATTGTGTTTGCCTTTCTCATACCAAGAGTACCCAATAAGTTATTTACAAAGTAAAAAGAGAAAGAAAGACCAGAGAAAGGGCCTAAGCCTGGAACAATTGATAAGAATGGAGATACATACTGGAAATTAGCAAGCCATGTTCTCTCTCAAAATGCTCTTTCAATGTGCACTGATTCCATAATTCAGGAGAGGATTCAGAGTTATTTTAAAAATGGGTCTTAAATGACAACTAAGCCAAATTAAGTCTTTCTGGGGGCAGAACAAAGACAGTGCCTGATAAACCCCCTTGTTTGTGTGTGTGTGGGGGGGAAGCAGGACTTATGTAAACATCTTGAAATTAAAGTGAAGAAAAAAGAAAAACTGGGGATGAGGAATTTATTACATTGTTCCCCTAAACATGAGTCATTGGTTTAAAAGATGACATATGAAACCTCCTGTACCTAATTACTTGTTTTGTTTCTTAGCCACTGAAGATACCCTGGAAAAGTCAAATCCCTGAACAAAGCTCATAACAGTTCGTTATATCCTTGGAATATCACGTTAACAAGAAAGGTCATCTTGCTCTTGAACAGAAGTGCTTGTAGAACAGGCACATGCTTAGTGAATAAAGACATCACTGATTTGGAAGGAGCTATTTTGAAACAATCCGAACTGTCTGGCAAATTATGATCCTTTTGTTATATACAGATGCTGATGTTTTGGTTTCTCAGACAGGATTAGAGAGATTAAGAACTTGACTTCTGATTTTCCAGAAGATAATCAGAATGTAAACTAAACTAAACTTGTAACAGTGGTACAAATGGCCTATTAAACACAGATGGCAAGTAAACAAGCAATATAACAGAGGTGGGATACTATGAATATTTGGGAATTTTTCAAAGGATAACTTCATGGAGGGTATAATCATCACATGCAGAAAATCATGCTCAAAATCTATTGACATATTGAGCTTG